GTGTTTCCTCCCCCCGCCCCCTTACCTAATATTTTGGAACATAGAATGCAGAAGAAACCATCTGATAAGCACATACGAACCACTTCCATGTTTAATAAAACTTGACAACTACAATTGAAGTACCCTCAGTGCCCTTTACTCAGAGGACCATGACCTTGGATTTGGGGTTTATCATTCCAAGCATTCCTTCATACTTTTACTACACGTCTGTGGAAACCTTGAGTGTTTTTAAACTTCATTTAAATTGTTTCACACTGTTTTTGCTCAACATTAAAAATTTCAGCTTCATCTGTGCAGACACATGCAGCTCTAGTTTCTTTCTTTTTCACTGAGGTATGCTATTTCATTGTGTGGATATGCCACAGTCCCATGTGGTTAATGTATATCTACATCTTTCTTTCTTTCTTTTTTCCTTTCTTTTTCTTTTTTCTTTTTCTCTCTTTCTATTTCTTTCTTTCTGTTTCTTTGTTTCTTTCTTTCTTACTGTTACAAGAAATGCTGCTATGACATTCCTCTGCATAACTCCTTGTGCACTTGTGCAAGTTTCTCTAAGATATATACCTAGGAGTGAGTGGAATTCACTTATAGAGTGAGCCATGGAGCACTCTGCTTGTGAATGTGCATGTATGTGCACCTTGGTGGCCTTGCTTGAGTACTGAATCAAAGAGGCCACATATAATTAGGAATGCCAAAGTTGGGTGAGGCTTTTCAAGGATTTGGCTTCATTCTTGGGTAGAAAAATTAGGTGGAAACTAGTAACTCTTCTTTCTTTAACATTCTCCAAAGAAATACTCCATCAATGGAAGGCTCTTGCAGCAGCCAGAGGTACTGATGAACTCCTGGTGGCAAGGAGGAACAAGGGGACTCCTGGAGTCCCAGCATCCTAAGTTTTCCTGGTGGCCACTGCAACCCTGGCCTATGGAAGAAGGAGCATTAAGCAAGGGCAGGGCCTGAATTTTAAAGCCAGTAGAAAATTAGCCAGATCACACAATGAAAATAAATGTTCTTAAGTGGGATAAACAATCTATAAAGAAAGCCATGAGATGTCTTTGCTTTCCAAGTCTGCATATAATTCCTTATTTCATATTATGCATGGACAGACATTCTGTTTTATTGGCAACCAGCATTTTAATTTTCATAATAAAATCGGATGAGTGGGCTTTATTTCCACATAGCCGAATGTTACACAGACTATGTTTCACAGGTAACTATGAATATGGCCAACCTGAGCCCAAAATGCATACTTCAGAATCTGGATTAATATAAAAGAGAAATGGAAGGGGGAAGCAGAGTTCATGAATCACTTTACACCAGGGCTGTCCATTGAAGTGCTTCAAGTAACAAGTCCTGTTCCTTGTATAAAATTGAGTCATGTCTAGAGCACTGATTTAGGAGCTGGGAATCTGCGACCTGGCTTGGCTTTGTGACTGGCCACCCACCTTCATGGCCCTGGGCAAGTCACTTACCTCTGGGCCTCAGATTCCACAACTGTAAAATGAATTTGGACCAAATGATTACCAAGACTCCTAGCTTTAATATTTTGTGATTCTGTGACCTAGACTGTCAACAGCTTTCTTTCTCAATAGCTTTTTTCTTTCTCTTTCTGCCTTTCTTTCTCAACAGCTTTCTTTTCTTTTCTTTCTTCCTTTCTTTTCTCTTTCTCCTTCCTTCCTTTTTCCTTTCTTTTCTTTCTTTCCTTTCTTCTTCCTCCTCCTCCTTCTTCTTGTTCTCTCTCTCTTTCTCTCTCTCTCTCCCCTTTTCCCCCTCCCCCTTCTTCCTTTCCAAGGTCTGGTTCTATTGCCCAGGTCACCTCAGGCTAATTTTTTGTATTTTTTGTAGAGATGGGATTTCACTGTATTTTGCCCAGGCTGATCTCAAACTCCTGGTCTCAGGCAATCCACTCACCTTGATCTCCCAAAGTACTGGGATTACAGGTGTGAGTCACCACACCCAGCCAACAACTTACTTTTTACACATACCTTTAGCCTCCTATCTTGTGCATAAAACAAATTAAACCCACATACATGTGTACCTTCCCCCCCACATGCCTGCCTTGCATCTCCTGACAGTCCCTCCTGACAGCTATCCAGTCCTTTAGACAACCTGCAATGGCACCTGAGGCTTCAAGTCAGCCTCTTCTCATTTGCTTAATTGCTAATGGGGTGGTGGTAATTTTCCCTCCAAGAGTTTCAGTTGGAAGCATCACCACTTAAGGAGCTCTGAACTCTAGCATCTGTTCTATCTCCCTCTGGAGGCAGATGCCTGGCAAGGATAAAGCCACAGGACATAGCTATGGATGGATTTAGGGAGCTGGGCATTTTCTTAGTGCAAGTGTTGGAGAACTGTCCCCTTGCTCCCCTTCCTCATCTCCTGCAGGTGAGCCAGGGACACATCACCCTTGGCAGGGACCTCAGCAGCTTCCCCAAGCCAGAGAAGGAGACCCCTACCTGGGAGAAGGATGGAAGAAAGGAAGCCAGACTTTCTCCCAGGTAGGTGCCTACATCTCCATGAAAACTGACATCACCATGGAAACTGAGCTACTGGTGGCCACTGTGTGATCTGGCCCACGTGCTGGCTCATCCCAGCCAGGTTTGGTCTGTCAGTACAGCTTATCCACATGAGGGCATAGTTCCCCAGCTCAGGTTCCCAGCACCCTTTCTTGGTGTTTCAGCACAGCCTGTTGGCAAGTGAGTAATGTCAAAAATCTTGCTTCAGAAACCCAGGGATTCCAACCAGGGTCAAGCAAGGAGGAATCTGCTTTTCCAGCCAGAACAAACAGAACCTCCCTGCAGTCCCTCTCTCCTTGACGGCCAGGTGAGATAAGCTGCTGGAAGCAGAGCAAGGTGCCCTGAGGATTCCTTTGAGAAGAAAATAGTGATTCTCATTTAGGTAGAGGCATCCACGCCAGTTGTGAAGGTGTAGGTGTAGGTGGCTCTGTGCTAAGAGTCACTCAGGGCAGCCCGAGGGATTCTGAGTAAAAGAGGAACCTCGACACTTCCTCGCATCTCATTCACCCTGATCTTAGAGGTTGCAGTGAGGGTAATAATAATCAGCACCTAGTAAACCATGGCTCTGGGCTAAGAGCTGAAGAGACAGACTAGGATAAGTGACTTCTCCATGGTCCAATAGGTTGAGAGAGGCAGAGGAGGATTTGAATCTGGGACTCTCTAACCCTAAAAGATCCAGGCTCTGGCGTATGGCCAGTAGCCCAGGGTCTTTATTGAAAGGTCACTTACATGCATAGGCAGTAGCTTAAAAATGCTACCTGGAACCCTGAACTCTGATAATCACCAAGCTGGAAGGAGCTGGAAATGTTCTCTTTCATAGAGGAAGTAGAAGACACCTGGCTGGATTGGGTAGAACATTGTGCAAGGGGCAAGGGCAAGTTGGAATGGAGAGGAGCCCAGGTGAGTACCAGGGGAACAAACTCCAGCTTTGTGGAGTAGGGGCTTGGTCAAGGTTGGATGTAACCAGAGGTCAGGCACAGGGTCTTTCTGAAGAAGGAAGGAAACCAAGATAGAGACAGGCAACACAGAAGAACCTGGGACCTCAGCTGTAACCAGTACAGCATTGCAGGAGTTGCACCTCTATCAGGAGTGGCTTAAATTCATTCTTCCCTTGAATACCCACTGATTAACTGCCCAGTCTGTAGCGTTTCCCTTGTAGGCATTACAATATGGAAGGGGGAGATGGATATAAAACAATCTCTCTCTCTCTCTCTCCTCTCTCTCTCTCTCTCTCTCTCTCTCTGTCTCTCTGTCTCTCTCTCTGTCTCTCTCTCGCTCTCTCTCTCTCTCTCTCACACACACACACACACACACACACACACACACACACACACAGTTATTACACATTTTTAGTGAGGGTGGTCAGGAAAGATCCCTTTGAGGCTGCAACTTAGTTGAGACCTAAAAGAAGAGAAGAGTTTAGCCATGCAACCATCTGGGGAGAGCTATCTCAGACAGAAGGTTCATGACATCAGAGGATCCCAAGGTAGAAAAGAGCTTAGTGAGCTGAAGGCAGTGTGGCTGGAGCCCAATGCAGGGGAGGACAGAATGAGGCTGGGAGGCAGGCAGGGCTGCACCGTGCAGGGCGGATGGGTCATAATTAGGAGTTTGCATTGAATTCTCAGGGCAATGGGAAATCAGCGGAGGGTGTTAGGCAGAGATGTCATGACTGGATCTATGTTTAAAAAGATCATTCTAGAAATTGTTGCATGGTAGCCTTTCAGGTCTTCAGGCAGCTGGTCATTTTCCTGAGTCCTCTCTGGGTTGAATTCAACTTGCCCTTGAATCCTGGGGAAGGAGGGACAGGAGAAGCTGGGGACAGGAGGGAGGGAGTGGACTAGACTTCACCTTTTTATCACTTTCTCCAAGCCTCACTTTGGGAAGACCAACTTCAGGGTGAAGTGCAAATGGGGAACCTTTCCTTCCCTTGCTTCCTGGTGATAAAATCATTAACATACTCCAGCTACTGCTGCAAAGGTGTATCAAATCTGTGCAGCCCTGCATGGGGGTGGGGCTGAGCCTGGTTCACCCGCACTGGTTGGGTGTGGACAGTTGTATCTCTCTGCTCCTTCTTTCCCTACATCTCATCTGAGAAGAAGAAAATTACACCATTCCATGGGTTCTGTAGAGTGGCTTTCACAACAGGAAGCCTCTGAGTGATCATCCAGGGGAAGGAAGCCTTCAAGGGGTGGGAGGAAAATGGCAGAAGACAGAGGTTAAGAAGAAGGAACAAAGAAGGCCCATGAAAGGAAGACAAAGGGGCAGGGCAGGGAAACCGGGAGTAGAAGGACTGAGCAGCTCAGGAGGAAAAAATAAAAACATACTATGCATCTTCACTGGATTTATGCTCATCTTTGCAAAATGATGTGGGCAAAGCATCGCTCATCACCCCTATACCAGTGCCAATGACAAGCGATTGAGGAAAGACCCTTCTCCGAGGACTAGGTCTGCAAGTAGAGAAGCACGCCAGGCAGTTTGAGGGAGAAGGAGAACAACAGTTGATCTGCAACAGCCCTGTGTGCTGGCTCCAAGATTTTCCTGTGGGATGAATGCATATGGGGGCAGAGAGATTTATTTTAAACGGTTTCGGTCACACCTCTTTTGGCCTGCCTGGTGGGCGAGGGACGTAGGTTACTTGCTGGAAGGAGACTCTAATGGGGGAATGAGGAGAGCAGCAAGAAGGGGCTAGAGGCCTCTTCTAGTCCCTTCCAACCTGGCAGCAGGCAGGCTCCTATTCTGACACCCTAGCCCTTGCGATGGGGCCCATTATGTCAACCAGGGCACAGGCCGGGGATAGAGGCAAGAGGCAGCAATTCGACTGTGGTGAGTAAATTTAAATGCTTTTATTAACAATCTTACATTACAAGGATAATATGACAAAAGGAAAGTTTCTGCGTACATATCATGATAAACCAACATAGCTCTATTGTATCCAGTGTTCTAGGTCCCCTCACACAGGTACTATAAAGCGCAGTCTGCAAAATAATAACATCGAGAGGTTTTTAAGAAAGAAAGTATTAACATATTAATACGTATGTGTAATAGACTCCTAGGTATATCCCCCCCACCCCCACTTATTTTTCCTTTGTGATTGACATGAAAACGGTTCAGCAGCGTGGGGGTGGAGAGGAGAGAGACGGGGGCTGAAACAGACAGAATCAGACTGCTGGTTCTTCCGGAGAGACAAAAGTGAAGACTGAGGGATGCCCGAGGGCGGCCTGGACTTTGTCTTTTGGTGAGCAGTATTGTGACCGCCGTCCCCCTCTGAACAGAGGGCTCGGTCCCTTGGTGCCCCTGGCGTGCTCTCTCTCTGAGGTACAGTGCATTGTGGGATTGCTACCTGGGGATGCCCATCCCCTGGCCGTGGGTCTGGTCCACTGCAGTGGGAAGAAGGCTCGGCCCGGCCTGGTCTCTCTTGAACCAGGTACTGGAGGGTGTCCCGAGACCCAGTTGGCAGCTAGCTGTGGTTCAAGGAGATGGGCATTGGCAGAACAGACCCACCCTGGGCTGTGGGTGGAAGGGCGGGCCTGCTGGAGACTGAGGTACTTGTAGGATGGTGGGGAAGAGCAAGAGAAGGGCAGAGGAGGCTCAGGATGGGAGCAAGTGCCCCTGTGGACCCCAAAAGCGAAAGGCTGGTCTGGAGAGAGGGAGCATGCAGCTGCCCTCATGCTCCATCATTGGTGCCTGGTCAGGCCCTCTCTCCTATCTTCAGGAGGAAAACAAACAAGAGAGAGGAGACTGGAAGCAAATGGGTTTTTGGGTCCCATCAGGGCTGCACAAGAACTCCATCATGCTGCCAGCTTGCACCAGTGCCCGCCCCTCACCCCGTGATACCCAGACATCCCTGCCCGGCAGAGGCTGGGAGCTGGTAATAAACCCAGGGAGATGCCCTCCCCAATGAAAGTGGATGGGCTTAGGGCATCCCAGCTCAGCCTCTGCCTCAAGTCACAGAATGCGAACAGTGTATGTGAACTAAACCTGCCTGTTACGGCGTGAGTTGGGTGGAGGTCACAGGGCCTCTGTGAGGGAGGGGGAACAGCATTGTCCTGAGTACAGCCAGCAAGCTGCTGTGCGGAGTGGGCTGGGCCAGAGCCCTGCTTCTGGACTGGAGTTGCCATTGAATTTATGAGTTTGCAGATATGTCTCTCCCACCGTTTCCTGCTAGCTGATGGCCCCTACCCTGGCCAGAAAGCCTCTGGATGGTGGGCAGCAGTGCCCGCGTCCTCACCCACTGACAGTGGCTGAGCAGGGCAGGCGGGGGAGGCCAGGACAGCTGCACTTCAGGGGCTCGGCCACTAAGGGCAGCGAAGCATCTAAGAGGGCAGGGGCGGTATCTTTCCTGGACCAGCTCCTGATCCAGTTTGCACCTTTCCTATTGTTACCGACGCTGCTCAGTCCTGGTGTGGGAGGGTACTGGAGGAGTTTGTGCAGTGGTCCCTCCACCAGGGGCCAGAGACCATGTCCTACTGCCAAGCAGCAGTGACCGCCTAAGCGTAGGCTGTGGGGGTGGGGAGAGGTAGGGGGCACCTCAGCTGGAGCTCAGGGGATATCTCCTTCCAACCTCAGACCAAGCTGGTGGAAAAGGAGAGAAAGTGCATGGAGCCAGCCGGGACCCAGCCACTCTCCTCTCCAACACTCTGGGTAGGAGGCCCCTTGCCAGCCAATCCTGCCTGCTGGCCTTCCCCAGCTCCCTCTCCAAAGGTCCTGCTCCCCCCTCCCTTGGCACAACACAGCGCCAGGCTTCCCACTGCTCTCCCAGCTCTATAGACTCTATTTTTATATCTATTTAAAACATAGAAATGTATAAATATATAGGATATTATTTATAGATATATAGACGTGATTTACTCTTCTTACTCTGTGTATACGTACTGTATATGTCCATATATACAACATATATGCTGTAGCATCTGTATTCTACACTGCACATACCCCTGCTTCCATGCACTCTCTCCTAGGGAGACTGGATTGCATAGGTATTTCCAGGGCGATACCACTTGAGGGGGTGGGGGGAAGGGAGTGCCAAATGGAAGTGGAGGGGCGTACCATTTTCCTCCCAAAAGGGCACTTTTTCTCCCTCTGGCTAACATGCAAATATCACCTCAAAGGGTCCTTAAAAATATCACAGCACCATCCACTCAGCTCAAGCATGCTGACCAACAGACAGCAAGGGAAGGGCCCCTGCCAAGTGGGAGACGGGCTTCCCTCCAAGCCAGAGAAGGGCTGTGCCAATCTCTCTTGAGTCCTCCTGAGGACTGAGGAAGAGGCCAGACTAGAACCCGTGACACAGCACCATCTCCCCAGACGACTGGTGTCTGGAATGGGTGTTCCAAGCTCCACTGCCATCTGAAAACCCCTTTCTTGTCTGAGGAGGCCTGGCCTGCCTGGCTAGATCTGCCTCTTGAAGCAGGAAGGGGGCATGAGTCCAGTGCCTTCTGCCAAAGTTGGACGTATGGGCCAAGAAAAAGTATGAATTCTACTTGGAAATCAACCCAGACTGAAAGCCAAAAGCAGACATTGGTCTAGAACTCTCGTTCCTAGAGTGGGTAGAAGGAAAAATGCGGGGGTATCCAGAAGAGGGAAGTTATATTTCAACCCCTCAGGCCACCTCCTGGGTCCCATCAGGCTCCAGGTGAGCAGGTAGCGTGGCACCAGCACCTCAGTGCAGGCTGGGCCAGGGCCCTGGGCCCACGGCAGGCTCTCAGCCATCCTCTCCAGCCTTCTGCATGCTTTCCCCTGTTTTCTCCCTTTTGGCACCACCTCCAAACGAATGGAAAATATTTAAACATTACTTTAAGTAATTACAAGGTCCTTTTCCCAAATTAAAGGGTTGGCATAAGTAACTCAAAGGAAGGGGATTCAGCCAAGCAACTCAACTTGGAAACATGTGGCAGGGGCTGAGGTCAGAGACCCTCAAGTGCCATGGATTCTGGGGTCCAGCACTGAACATGGCCATCCAGGGATCCTGGAGCTTGAGCCTGCTCTCAGTCCCAAGTGAGGATGGGGAAATGAGGACATGCCCCCCATCACAAGGAGTCATAGACCAGCCATTTAAAAAATTAAATAAGGCTGCTGTTTCTGATGCCTGGATTCATATTCAACCAAGCAGGGGATTCTGACATGGCAAGAGTCACAGACACGGCTGGGCTGTCCTCACGTTTCACAGATACTAGATGGCAATGGATCTTTCATTTTATCCTTCATGAAGGAAAAGCAGACCATGTTACTCATAAGGGCCCTGGCTCCCAGGCTCTGCCAGGTGTCTCCTTGGCAAAATTGGCCACAAACCTAGGCCTTGAGGTTGATCTCACTTCCCACCATCTCCACGAGCCAAAGAAAGTCACTAATCAGCCAGGCCAGTTATGCCAACTCTCGGCCCCAGAGACTCATTTCATTCTAAGCCTGTAGTCATCACTCCTAAGCCTTAAAGGGCTCTGTCTTGTTTGAAGTAACCACATATGAGATGCACCAATTTCCTTTCCACAGTTCTGTATATCCATCAAAGGGAGACTACGTTAGCCAAGCATAGGGGTCCCTGGGTTAGACCCTGAGTGTCCTATCAATCTAAGTCCTTCTCAAGCAAGCAGGAGGGTGAGCAATGCCTATGACAGAAATCACAGGTAATCACCCAGGGAGCATCCAAGCTGAGAAGAGACCCCATGTAAACTGCAGTGGTGTATCACCCAAATTATTCCCTGTCCCATGGCCATGTGCCCTACAGAGTGTCTGCCATAGCCCTGGCATGGCTAAATTCAGCAGAAGCCACAAGCACCCAGAGTTGTAAGGGGTGTCCTAACCTAACTTTAAGACCATCTGAGAGCTTAGCTTTTCCAAGATCTGGTGGCCGGCACAGGAGGTGACCCCGCAGCCATGTGCTGTGCATAGCAGCTCATTGTGCTAGGCCAGAGGCGGATCACCTGTTCCTAGCTTTCTCAGGAACTACAGGGTAGGCACTGGCGCTGCCCCATAAGCTTTTCTCCATCTAGCTGAAGATTTTAGCTGATTTTGACCATCATCTCTTGAGAAGAAAAAGTCCAGCCCTGACTGACTAGGTGCTCAGGCAGACACTGGTTTTCTCTTCCTGGTTTTCAAATGAATAGGGGTCTTAGTCTGCTCCTCCCTACCCTTACCCAAGGTAAGGTGTAAGGCAACTATTGGCTGGAAGAAAGGATCTCAGCCTACTGTTTCCGTCCTCACCAAGCCCTGTCTTGCCAGCCATCTCTGCCCTCAACCCTTCTTAGTCTCTGCAGTGTTCAGTCATGACACAGCAGTTTGCATGTGCGAGGGGAGAGGAAGACCCGAGGCTAAGGCTGGGCCAGGTGGGACCTGGGGCTTTGCAACAGCTCCCACTTGACCACAGTTAGTTTTAGACCCTGATGAGAGGAATGGATGGAGGGAGACAGCAGTTTAAAGTGGGAAGTGGAATGGGGCTGGAAATCTCAAAGCTTCAGAAAGGGGCTTTCAGCCTTTCCTTGCTAGTTCCTGCTAACTGTCCTCTTGCCCGGAGGAAGGTGGGGAAGTATGTGTGCAACAGGGGTGGGAGGTGGGTTGGATGTCACCAGGCAGGGGTGCATTGATTTGTTGAAGAAGGCAGCATATGAGGCCTGGCAGTGGGAGAGTTGGAGGAACCCAGTTTTTTTGTTTTCTTAACATGCTACATCACTGTTAAAAACAAACAAAAATGTTTAAAAAATAATATATAATATATATATATATAATATATTTATATAATGAAAAGCTATTGACTAGCAGCAATGATTCTAAAGTTATCTTAGCACCAAGACCATGGGGGTGAAGGGGAAGGGAGTAGTAGGGGAACGAAGAGACTGGCAGGACCAGGAAGGGGCTATAACATGTTCAGTGTTGATGACATTTCCACTATGGTTCTCAATGGTGGCATGAGGCCTCAGAGGCAAGTCGACCAAGAAGGAAGGAAGCCACCGCAGTTTTAAAATGTCTGAACCAAGCAGGCTGAAGACACTGGGGCCTGGCCTGTGGCCAGATCACACCAACCAAGAGGTGAAACTCTCAGCAGAACTGACCACATGTACGTAATTCAGATCTTCCTCCCTCCCCCCAAAATGACCTGCATCCACATGATAAGATCTCTGCATATAAACTATGCATAAATCAGATGTAGAAACATGAACAGAAGTTTTTAACAGCTCACGCACATTTTTTAAAACTCCCTTGCGAGGTATACCGGTAGTTAAATGAACGAAAGAGCATTGATCAGACTCCTCTAGCTTAAACCACTACTTGCCCCAGGGAGTAGGCAAGTGGCTATTTCTAAAGCTTATATTGTATATTGTGACTTTGTGTGTGTGTGTGTGTGTGTGTGTGTGTGTGTGTGTAGGCTGATGCCTTGAGAGTCCTCTCTTCTTTTCTCCTTTCCTTTAGGACATCTCTACCCTGGTCAAAAAGGGAAGAGTTTATAGGCAGAGACACATTCCCCAGTTTCCTATTACCATGGAGCATGTTATCAGCCTTGTTGCAAAAGGAGGACCACATCTCTAGAGACTCTCATTTGAGTTATGCAGAACTCAGGGCACAATTTGCATTGACACCTCCTGCCACTGAACTTTAGCAGGCATTTCTTATTAAAGGAAAAAAAAATTATGAAAGGAAAAAAAAATATCCTCAACACATGATATGATTATAAAGACAGAGTATAAATAATTCATGTAAATTGAATACGTACTTTTCATTTTACTTCTTTTTTTTTTTAGCCAAAAATCACTCCCTTATAGGGGCCTGGACTTCTTGGCTTTTCATCTCCCCAAAAGCCCTGGATCGGAATGGAATTGTGTTGTTTATCCTCCACCTCGTAAAAACAGGAATGCTTAAAGCTCACCCCTTCTCCCTTTCCCAGGATTTCAAGCTCGGCGATGAGGCAATCTTGCCTTCAGTCTAATGGGTAATATCGTAGTTTCCGGGGGCTGGAAGGAAGGGATCCACATCCCAGGGATGGACGAGGCAACAGAGGTGAGGTGTGGTGGTGTCACAGTTTGACCGACATTTTTGTTTGTAGGACAGTGAAGGAACCCTCATCAGGAAATGAATAAAAAAAGATCTCAAGCTGAAGTTAGACGGGGAGGGAGAAAGGTCAAACCCCCCAATCCAGACACACAACCCACCCCGGCTTAAGTCTGAGACCTTTGACCAGAATGTCAATGAGGAGGCCAAGGACCTCCCTCCCATCATAAAACCAAATGAAAACAGAAAAGGCAAGAACATAAACCCAAACCCAAAGCCCTGCCACCCGCAAATGAAAACATAAACAAAGTGAGCTACCTAAAGGTGATGACAGAGACCTGTCATTTTAGCTTATGCTGTTGGTGGACAGTAAGTTGGGAACACAGGTGGCCCCAGCACGTGCATCCGTGAGTGAAAATGAGTTGCCACGTATGTTGCAGCTGCCAAATTTTGTAGACAAGAGTCAGTTTCCAACATTTTTCCTTTCTGAAAGCTCCCAGTGGCTTCTGGTGGACGCGTCACCTTGGTTGTTAAAAATTTTCAGTGTGGGTTTATATATATATATATATATATAATATAATATAATATATATTTATATAATATATCAAAGCTTATGAGTATAGATTAAAAAAATATTCAACAGCTTCGTGAACTCTGCAGCGCCAGCTCCCTAAAGGTCAGGGTAAAACTCCGCCCCGTGGTCCACGGTCTGTAGTGCTGGCTTCTGCTCCAGCGCGGACATCCTGCTGAGGACCTCTGCGGACAGTGTGTAACTGTTCCCTGACTTCTCCTCAAACCAGCTGTCCAGGGCTCGCTTGGCATCAAAATTGGCAATTGGCGGTCCATTTACAGCGATTGTCAACAGGTCGCTAAGCTGCTCCAGGGTCAGGCGGGAGCGGTGGTTTTTGCGAACTCGCTGGAGGGCGTTGCGGCCTTTCTCGCAGCAAGCGGTGGAAGTGGGGAGGACTTTAAGAACCTGGATGATCTTGTTCAAGAGTGGAAACCTCTGTTTATACTTGCAAATGTGGCTGATCAGGTCTTTGAAGCCATTTTTGGTGTAGTAATCTGCCTTGAGTTCTCGCCATTCCATCAACAGACTGCCCCGGGGGTCCAGCCCTTCCCTACAGACATCTCGGGAAAAGGTCGGGATGGCCTCCAGGTGATCAAATATCTGCACCATATCCTCCTTGCCATAGCTCATCAGCTCCTCACTGCTCCTGGGCCAGGCAGCCAGGTCGAACACCTGGCAGGCCTTCACAAAGATCCGGCTGCGGGAGTCGAACCTCTGAGCCAGGATGACCTGGGTCTTCTGGCAGATCTTCTCCCTGATGGACTGGAACTTGGCTTCAGCCACCCTGAGGTTCTTCATGGCAATCCCATTGAAGCTCTCTCGGAAGTTCTCCTCAAACTCCTGCAGGTATTCTCCCGGGGAGTCAGCCAGCCGGCTGATCTCCTGGATGGCCTCCTCGATCTTGTCATCTACCTGGGAGACCAGCAGGTACTCGCCCTGGAAGACATAGGCCAGGCGTGAGAGCACAGCGATCACGTCCAGCAGGAAGTAGATGAGCTTGATGGACTGGTAGTCCATGAGGAACTGCAGCAGGGCCAGGGCGATGGCCGAGGCATCTGCCCGCTGGGTCTGGCTGCTGACCTCCTTGAGATGAGCCACCACGTCCAGGTAGTCCTTGATGAGGGCGTTGAGGACGTTCTGCTCGCCGATGATCCACCGCACCGCCCGGATGTCCCCCAGGAATTCTGTCTCCTCACAGAGGGTGGCCGCCGTGGACCGCAGCTCGCACATGAGGCGTGGCGAGTAGCGGTAGAAGCTCAGCAGCTGCTTCAGGTTGTTCTCCAGCTCCTCCAGGCATGGGAGCTCTTTCCCGCTGATGGCATCCAGGATCTCCAGGTGGGGCCGGTGCACCATGAAGGGCAGGCACAGTAGCCACGGCAGGGTCTTGCGGATCGTCATGAACATGCTGGCCCGGAGGCTGGCTGTGATGTTGGCCCCGTCTACACCCAAGCCCACAGTTGGCTTTTCATCCTGCAACCGGATGCCCAAGGCCGAGAAGGCCCGGTCAAGTGCCTGGAGATAGCTTTCTGTGCTAGAGAACCCCAGCTCCTGCAGGGACAGGAACTCTGTAGCTGGGGGCCCGTCGCTGCTGGTGTACTGAACGTAGACAGCCACCGTGTCGGCCAGCAGGTCGTCGCTCTGCCCATCCAGGATGATGCTGAGGCAAGGTGACTGGCGGATGCGCTCTACCAGGTCTTCTCGCAGGGCCCGGGCGATGTGATGGATGAGGATCTGGCAGTCTCCCTCGTTCATGTACTGGTCTACCACCTTGAGCTCACACTTCCTCAGCAGCTCCGCCAGGGGCCGGAAGTCCAGGTAGGGCCTGCCCTCCAGGGCCAGGTGGTAGGCGGTGTTGAAGAGCAGGGTCATGTTACGACACATCTCCTCTGTCTTCTCTGGGTGCATGCGGAGCTTGTACAGCTGCAGGCACTTCTTGTGCAGGTTGCTCTGGCTGTGCAGTTTGATGGTGTGAATCTTAAACTGCTTGGAGCCGATGATGAAGGCCGAGGTGCGTGAGGACTGCACCGTGTACTGGCGGCAGACGTGGCACCACATCTCATTGAGGGTCGGGGAGTACCGCAGGAACCAGAACTTCTTCAGCCATTCCTGCTTAAAGCGCCGGATTCGGCGCCCGGTGGCAGACGACATCTTGGAGGGCTCATCTGTTGCAGTCATCATATCGTTGGAGACAGATTCATCTGCCGAATCGACTTCCTGGTCATCGTCCTCCATGATGGCAGGGCCAGAGACCATGCTCTCTGAGGCTGAAAAACAAATGGGAAAGAAACATTTATACCTGGTGGGAAAAACAGGCTTTTCCAAAATTCACAGGAAACACTCCTGGAAGGTAGGTGCCACACCGTGGGAAACAGAAGTCCGTGGAAGCCTATGACAGATTGAATCCCAGCCCAGAATTAGTTTATGAGCACTCCTGCTCACCCATGTGACTTTTACTCTCTGTGGAGTGTCCACAGTGGCCTTCTGTCACCCACGCCAGGCTCCAGGCTGCCTGTCCTTGCCCTCCATGTGTGGGTGCTTGAGGGGTCTAAACGCCCCGTCAACTGGACAGCACAAGCTAGGAGAGTAGATCTGATGGAAGGGGAAAAGCACATCACTCATTCTAAAGTTACATATCAAGGACTTGGGGATTCATTTGCCCTCCACTAATGTGAAGAAAGGCAGGTTGGATACGGCCTCAAGCGATTTCAGGATCAAAGTGCAGTTTAGTTGAGATGCATGCTTTGAATACAAGAAACACCTCATTCTGAGCTAAGGGATGTGGTCAAAAGAGGAAACGCTGTGTAAACAGTTTCCCTCAGCTGCAGATGTGAACTAGAAAATCTCCCTAGTTGTCGATCAACTCTAGAGATCCAAGCAGCCAACAGACTAGGGCAAAGCCATGCAGGTGAATGGCCTGGATCCCCTCACGCTCCATCCTTCTAGAACTCCAGGCAGGGGAACAGGGACCATGTGTGGCAGGACAGAGATTCAGGAAGAGAAGAATAAGGCTGTGGTCCTGGACTAATTTTGGGAAGCCATGAGATCTCTCCAGTGGGACACCCTGCTTGGGACTGGGGAGGGAGAAAGACTGGGTTTAGAAGTTGGGCTTTGGGGCAAGACACCAGTAGGACCACCAGAGAAAGGCAACAGGTCAAGAACACAGCACACACCCCTTCTGCAGCGGAACTTCCTTTATTGACAAGGAGGATACAAGGGCAACACACGGAGCCCCTGGCAGAGCTGCCGACGGGCCCGCCAGAGGCACTGAGGACCTGGGCTCCCACCCACAGAGGTGGCCGCCTCCGTGTTACACTCCTCAGGTCTCCCGGAAGGTGGTTTCCACAGAGAGCTTTAGGCTACCCTCCACACAGCCCACTGTGTGCTCTGCCCTCTGACAATAATCTCATCCAAGACAACTTACCTGCAGGGTCCGAGAACTCTGGGAGCTCCAGTACCTGTGGTGGCAATACAGGGGGCTCAGGAAGTTTCCCAGACTTAAGCATGTCTAATTCTGCCTGAAGCTCCCGCACCTTCTTCTTTAGGCGAATACAGTTAGGGCAAAAAGAGGTGGTGGGAAGTTCATGAGCATCAGATGCAAGGGAGGCCTCGGCAGGACTGTCGGCCTTGAATGATGAAGGCTCCTCTTCTTCATCTTCCAATGGGCCTGGCTCTTTGGAGATCCCCTGGGGGACCTTCCAGTCCCCCTCCCCCTGGGTCCGGCCTACATTCTGCACACTATGGGTTATGGTTGTTGCACGCCGACTGTAGGCATCATCCTGGTACTTGGGGACTTTCCTGATGACCAGTGAGGTGCTCAGGGCCAACTGGTGGGCTTCTACCTTTGCAGATTCCAGTGAGGCCTCCAGAACATCCTTGAAAATCAGGTCAATTTTCTTCTTCTTGGCTTGGGGTTGTATGTCCCCCTCATCAAAGCCACGCTTGTAGGGACTTTTGCCCTGTCTCAGCACAGGGAGATGAATGGGACCCCTCAGGTCTTCTGGGTTATCCAGAGCCTGCTCAGACTTCTCCCTCTGCAACCTCTTCTCTCCTAGGAAGGAAAACCAGGGTGTAAGGAAGTGGGGAAAACCCCCAAATTGGAGAAACCAACAGAAAACAAAGCAGGCCTCCTGTTAGGTTGCCTGACACATCCCTCTAGCTCTGGGCTTGTGGGGCAGGTGTTGCAAAGGGGAGAGGTAAATCACTTGGTGGACCATAAGAGTTAGACTCACAGGACCTGAACAGTGGAGAAAAGGCCTTTTATAAAGACAGTTTCAAAGAAGCCTCATATCTATAATCTCTATGGTTATAAGTTAAGAGAAATCTGTAGGGGAGAGTAATTGAATGGTCTTTCCTATGACTCTAGAAGACAACATCCCACCCAATCACACTGGGTGGTGGCAACATACCTCAGAGCCAAGTGAGTATCAATTCCCCCAACCTTTGTAGCTTCCTCTGAGCCCTAGCAATGACAAGATGGCTGCTTTGACTTGGTAAAAGGTACATGTGAAACACCACAGGCCTCATTCCTTCCTTCTCCCTCGTTGCTCTGGAGACAGCCCACTTAAGGCAAAGTCCATCCTATGGCAACTGTCCTTTCTAATTCTCCCGGTGATCAGCAGACTAGTAACATGTGAGAAGGTAGGATCTGAACTTCTTTGGTTAGACTAAGGATGGAAGAAAAAAGATGACAAGGAGACCTACAGCACTGAGGGCTCCAACATGGCTGCCTCCAACAAGATAAAGGACAAGGTAGCCACAAGGACCCAAAGCAGTCCGGAAATAGAGCTGCGTCTCCTTACCTGGCAATTCAAAGGACATTTCCTTGTCTCTTTCTTTCTATAATGTGAATTACTTCAATTCACTTTGAATTACTTTCAATTGTTTCAAAGACTTTGTTTCAAACAATTACATTCAATTGTTTCAAAAAAAATAAATTTTTTTTAGCCTGATTCCTTGTTTTTAATTTTTATTTTTTGAGACAGACTCACTCTGTTGTCCAGGCTGGAGGGCAGTGGTGCTCATGCAGCAGCCACCTTCCAGGCTCAAGTGAACCTCCCACCTCAGCCTCCCAAGTAGCTGGGACTACAGACGCAGGCCATATCACCCAAATCTTGTACTTTTTGTGAAGATAGGGTTTCACCATGTTGCCCAGGTTGGTCTTGAACTCTTAGGCTCAAGCAGTATGCCCACCTTGGCCTCCTGTAGTGCTGGGATTACAGGTGTGAACCATGGTTCCCCACAGCCTGATTGTTTAAAATTACCAACATAGTTTCATAAACTGCTACAGAAGTGCTGATGCTTCCTGGTGAGAGATGCTAAAAAGGCAGAGGAATCTCTTCAGTCCTCAGAGGGTCCTGAAAGCAGCCTATGGAACTCAGAAGTCTCAAAGGTTTCCTAGACCAGGAGCAGGAGCCCTGGGTGATGTGCCCCCAAAACAATGACTTGAACTAAGCTGCACTTAGGCTTCTGATGGCTCCATTTGCCAAAGGCTTCTTTTCTGTGTGAAGGCCAAGGGTTCACCATAAGCAATCCAGAGGTCCCATGCCTCGTTTCCCATAGCTGGCACGGGTGCTGTGCCTGCCCCATGTTTGACTCCAGGTTTCCTTTAGGTTACAGCAGGAAAGGAAGTTATCTATTCAGGATCCCGCTTTACTGTCCTCACATGAATGCTTAAGGAACAACTTCACTTCCAAGGCTTCTGGAACCCAGGCAGCTCCCCACAGCCTGCACTTCTGTATCAGCTGAGCTGCAGAAAGAGGAGGGATGGAGATAACTTGAAAATGCAACCTATTTGTCTTACAGATCAGATGCGTCACTTGCCCATTGAGAATCTCCAAAAATCAAGGGCCACCTTTTCCTTTTCCCAGGGGACAATCAGGCAGCAAACAGCTGAGGATGTCAGGAGGTCAAGCCTACAAATCACCAGAGATTCCTCATCCTTGTTTGGAAACAACATTGCTCAAATTTCTTAGGATGAGCAGGAGATCTTTGTAGACCTTAGGCTTCCAGAAAAATCTATGGGCCAAAACAGACCTTTAAGCTTCATGAAATTGCTTCCAAAGCCTGCATACGATATGGAAAACAAAAACAAAGAAAACCTCAAAGTAAATTAATGACTCAAAGTAGTTTAAATAACACAAATTGTTTGAATGTGAGCTTTAGATGCAATCTCTTCTTAAATGGCAGCCGCAGAGGAATAGTTTACACTTTCTTCAGGAAGAATTCTCGCAACAACCAATATCTCTACTTAATAAGAACTAATAATTCATGCTCTGGCCTCCATCAGGGTGCCAACCTCCAATCACAAAGAAACCTCCTTCTATGTAAGACTGTGAGTGATTGGGCATATGGAATCTCCCTTCCAGAGCAGCACTGGCACACCAATCTGGAACACCACTAAAAGTACCCAGAGTCTGCTGAAGCTACAGGCTACAGAGGCACACATTAAAAAGCCACTGAGCTCCATGACTGTTCCCAAGGGCTTCAGTATCAAGACCACCCACAGCTGTGGAACTGCCCCACTGTGGCTTTCAGTTTCCTTCCTATTTCCTAATGCTCAGCCTGACCAGGACAGACACTCTTCCCTCCTGTGTCTTCATATGTCTTGATGTATCTCCCTTCAAGTCTGTCTGACACGCCTCCTCTGAGCCACTCCGGAAAGCTCACGCTCTTCTCTGAGCAGTCCCCTGTGGTCTCAGGGCTCATGGAGGATGATGCCGCTTCAGGTGCTCTGGAGAAGACCAGTGGGGGAAGAAAAGGACATCGCAAATCCAGCAGAATGCAAGAAGGTTATGACCAAGGGACAAATCTGTGTTCTCAGATATGATTTCTCTGGGTTTTCTTTTCTTCCAGTGTTTTGATTCTTTGGGAAGCTTCATGGCTGTCTTCATTCATTTCTTCTTTTATCCATTCAACAAAGACTTACTGAGCCCCTACTATGTATCAGACACTTTTACATGAGGCATCTCCAGAGGTCACATGGAAACCACTGCGGCCTCGTCATGGAAGCACACCTTGCCGAGTGAAATCAACATGTGCCCAACCCTGAGACCCAAAGAACACAAGAGATGAGTATGTTTACAGAGTCTCCTTTGACTGCCCATCATCTCCAGATACCTTTTACCAAGTCAGGCAGCAGCTGTGCACTCAGTATCCACAATTTGCTTTGTTCTGTTTTGCTTTTAAAGATAGCTTAATTTGAATAGGTCACTGCCAACCCCTTTTCATCTTCTCCCCTCGTATTCCAAGTGAAGATTTATTTCCAATAAGAAGACTGATCAGGAACACAATATGGTGGGGCTTGGGAACAGCCTTGGTTCCTGGCATCAGATACACTCTGGGTATTTGGATGTGTGGTTTTAGTGCAAAAAATAGCAAACAAAAAACAAAACCCTTGAAAGAAGGGCCTAACCTGGGCAGGATGAGGATGGAATAAAAAGGTCAAGGAGTAGGGGCTGGAAGTAGTTAAAACTGCTTCTGAATGGACACCCAACCTACCCAGCTTCTCACACTATGTCACCTTCCCACCTCCTTCTAACCTGCTTCTTTTGATAGATTGTTCTTTCACCTCATCTCATTAGGACTGCAGCAGAGATACCAGGAAGAAGCAAGGAGGGGACTGGTTTTGTCTGGAACACCAGATAACACTGTAGGTCAGAACTTAGATCTTTAAGTCAGACCCATGTGGACTAGAAACCTACTTCTATCCTTCTTAGCCAGGTGACCCTGGATGAATCACTGTATTCATTTGATATTCGGTTTGCACATCAGTAAGATGGGTAAAAGAATCCGTGTTGGATCATGAGTATTAAAAGTTCATAGCTGAGGGCTCCCAACGACGGAGCCGGATATTGTCCTAAATGCCATGTCCATGACTCCATCTATTTCGCAAGGCATACTGACAGGTTAGGGACAGCTGCTGTGATGATTACATGGGAACATGCAGAAAATCTGCTCACAGGTTATGGGAAATACATCAACACCAGATACTGTAGGTGACTGAAACACTGAAAGGTCATCTCTTCTACTCTTCACTTAACCACAGGGGTTCCCAGATACCCACAGGCCTCTGATGGTGGTAAGAGTGGGGTCCTTGAACTGTTGCTAGTATTTCACATATTAAGTATTAAGTAAATGTTACCTATTATTGTGATCATTATTGAGGCCATGGCGGTTTGTAACATCTTTTCATCAACTGGAGTTGGGAAAATAGGGTACATTTTGGTTAAACAAACTTGCTTGGCTTTGGGGGTTTGTCTCTGTCATGGATACTGTGAAATGTGTGTGTTAACGGTTTCTGAGACTATTTCTAGGGGAAGAGAACAAGCTGGGGTGGCCCCTCCCTGGTCCAGAGCTGCTGCTCAGACCTCGACCGTCTGTTCCCCGGAATCACTTTGGGTCTTCTCATTGCTGGCAACTGTATTTCCTATTGGTTTTCTTAGGAAGCCCCAGAAGAAGCTCTAGAGGCCTCCCCTGGGGCTCAGTGGTGGGCGCGGTCGGCATGGAGTGTGGCACTCACCTCTGGCCAGGTTGCGGTGGATGGTTTCCTGGGACATGCTGTGCAGGCGCTTCATGTAGTCCTCGCTGTACCAGACCCGCAGCCACTCCCCAGGCCGGATGTCCCTGCACGCCCGGAAGTAGATGCATTCGCTGTGCTGGAAAGCCAGCAGGTTCTGCTCCCTCTCCTCCCGGGATATGACCACGTACCTGGGGGCGAGGGGAGATGGGTGAGAACACACAGGTCACCTGTTATTGAGTGCCTTCTGGTGCTGGCACAGTGCTGGGCAAGTGTGGAGGGTTAGAAGGCCACAGGCATGTGGGCCTGTGTGAGTACTGGCAGAGCAGCTGCCCTGTCCAGAGAAGCAGCACCAGCCAGACCCCATCCCTGTCCCAACGTCACTGTGTTGTGGGACCTCAAGCACATCTCCAAACCTCGAAGAATTTCTGTTTTCTGAGACTGGATATGACCCCTGTCCTGCCTGCCTCATAGCATATGGAAAATATATCAACACTAGATATTATAGGTGATTGAAAAACTGAAAAGTCATCTTGTCTACTCTTCAGTAACTTTTAACACAGGGGTTCCCAGATACCCACGGGCCTCTGATGGTGGTAAGGCTGGGGTCCTTCAACGGTTTCCAGTATTTCACAAAGCCTAGCTGAAATAGCCCATGTGACAAGGTATCTAAGAGATCCATTAATAAATGCTAAAGATGAAAATCTTTTAAAAATGGCGGGGGGGGGGTCCAGGAGAGGAAGGTAAATAAGAGACCACAAAAGGTTGACAACCACTGGTTAATCTTACTAAATGATTTTAAGATAAGGAGACTGAGGCTCAGAGAGGCCAAGTAACTTGCCCAAAGTCACACAGCTAATAAATGGGAGATGGAGCTTTGAGTCCTATGCACGTTTCCCACTGTAACTAATGGCTCCTACTGTGGACATATAAAGCAGAGCTTGGCAATGCCCGGATAACCTTCAAAATTCTGTCAAACCCTCAGAGTCTATGACTCTCATGCATTCTCACCAAAACAACATTTGCAACATTCAGTCCACCACCCTACCCACCTCCAAAAGGTGGAATGATGCAGCACCTGCCGAGGAGTGAAGGTGCACAGATCAGAGGGCAAGAGGAAATTGGTTGGTGTTTCACAGTTCTGTGCTAGGCAAGCATCTAGGAAATCTGTAGTCAAAAATAACTTCTTTCTTTATGTTACGGTTTGTCTCAAAAACCAGGGACAAAATCGAAGTCTGCCTGATTGGTGTAGCTCAGTGACTTACATCTGGATAAGTCCAGGGAAAACAAAACTTCACAGAAGAATTCCAATGGATAAATAAACAAATGAAGAGTATTCAGCATCACTAATAAAAGAAACGGAACATAGTACATTGTCTCATTGGCACAGATTTCTAAGAGATGATAATATCTTTATCGGTAAAGGTGGTAAGAAAGGTGTCTCCTGTACCGATGATGCAGAAGGAACACGGCAACCCTTTAGAAAACAACTTGGCAATATGGCTCAAGAAACATAAGACACAGATGAAGTGTGCAAACCCGGCATACCAATATGCTGACTTGCATCATTGTGTGTGGTAGTGCTTGAATGTCTAATACTACCGAAATGATTTTGTAAATGATGTTACATTTATGCAATGGAATGCTGTTCATCTATAGAAAAAGAAAAAGGTTTTCAAAGAATCTTTTATGACACGGAAAATGGTGTTGAAATAATACAGTGTGAAAATAGGACTGGAAGTGTTTAGACTGTGGTTCCAATAATGCTTTAAAAACAAGCCCCAATAAACGACTTGAAGGAAATACACCAATGTTTTAGCAGTGACAACCCCCTGTAGATGGATCGTCTTTGTAATTTTGCATACTTTCAAAGTTTCCCTCAATAAGCAACTATTACTGTCACCCACATCACCCTCAACACACCCACAAAGAAAATAAATATATGAATGCCAATTCCAGTATGAGGTGACAGTGGTGGCAGCTAGCAGCATGGAAAATCTACGTTCTAGAGGTCCCAGGGATGGCACCAGCTGCCTCTCATCTATATCCTGCCCTTCTCATCTGAAGAGCCTGGGAGGAGGCTGTTGCCCTCCAAGGATGACCGCTGGAGTCCAGGGAACAATCCATTCTGTCAACAGCATGTTGCAAGACCTCAGAAGGAGTGAGACCAAGGAGGATGGACGAGCAAACGTTACCTTTGGTTGCTTCAGCCTTCTGAGAGAAGCGAGCCACAGGCTCCACCATGGAGGTGTGGCTTGCAAGATTTATAGCGCTTAGGTCCCCCAGAATTTGCATCTTGTACTAGATCTGTGTTTTCTATTAGCCCCAACACCTAGGTGTTCCTACCAGCATTGGACATAAGCATCGCTCTCCCTGAGTGGTGAAGACCACACGGTGATTTCACACACCCAGTCGCGATGTTATTAGCAAAGGACTTAAGAGAAAGGAAAAGAAACCCTCCTGGCTGAGAAAAGTTGCTTCCAATTAATAATTCCCAATCTCAATTCTACAATTGTGAGTCAGCCTTTTCTCCGAATAGCTGCGATTTCTTCTGAATATGCAAAGTATTTCCAGTCCCCAATTTAGTGAGAGTCTAGGATTTGACATCCAAAACTAATCCACCTGCGGTTAGCATGGAACAAAACAGAAGTCGTTCCAAACTTTCCTGCTCCCAGATACGAAATGAAAACCATTCATTCATCTTTTTCCTCACAAGAATCACTTGAATCACAGGGCACCATGATTGGAGAATACTGTCTTCTCCTTTTTTTCTTCCAGTTTCTAAACAGCCACCAAGCTCTAAAAGCTAGAATTATTTCTCTGACATTCAACATCAAGAGAAAAATCTAGATGAGAAATACATTCCTACCTGGGATTTATTTATTTAAAGAGCAACTTGTAGGGTGTATCAAAAGGTTTAGAAAGACTCAAGTCAATTTCTCTTTCCAACTTCTGGTCTCTTTCTACCCAGCAAGAATCAATATTTGGAAAGCTAACCTCAAGGCACTGTATAGATCACAGAGTATTTTCAAAGGCAGATCAACACTTATTCAGATTTTTGTTGTATTTTGTTATATGGCAACTCTTGGTAAATCACAGCCCATTCCCCAGACAAGATGTGTATGTTATATCATTTTAGAGGTAAAGCTAAATGGAGCTAGCTAGGTCCAGACCTGTTACCTCTAATTAGATCTTCCCTTTTTACGTGTTTTGCCTTAACACCCGCTGGCTTGAGCCACTCCCTGGAACCCTTCTGTCCCCATTCACGACAACCCCTTTATGAAGAACTGTGCCTGTCCCATTCACTATATGGCTGCAGCAAACAGAAGCCCTGCCCAAGGAGTGAAAGGCTGCCAGCAGGTGCAAAATCTATCCATTGTGGCTGAGCAGCTCTTTGCAAGGAGGTTTGAGGCGTTGTCAGGTCACTACCTCTTGAGAAAAGGCACAGACAATGTCTAGTGAGGCTATTTTGCAAATGCTAGTGCTTACTGAGGCATTTCAACTCCAACCCACAGAATTTGGGACCTTTGGAGCAATCAAAGGGTAGGCCGAGGTGCTGCTGATAGCAACAGAGAGCTCTGGACCAAACCTATCATGATGATACCAGATTGTTTTTATAATCTCCCTGCTGACCTTGGAGACCACATAGACAAATACTAAGACAACAGTTCTCAGATCTCACCCACTGTGTCTTATCAAGTGCACCACATTTTCTAGCTGGGTCAGGACATGACTATTGGTTCCAACAGAAAAGAGAACATAACTCATGGGGCAGCCATTTTGTTGGAGGGGCTTGAGTAGGCCAGACGCAGACATTACTGCTTAGTGGGTATCTTTTCAACAGAAAGGAAGCTGCCCCAGGTAGGGAGGCAGAACTAGGAAAAGACAGACAGAGAAGAGGCTGGGCTCTGGGTTCTCATATGCATAGGTCTCCGGCCTAGAAGGGGCTTTAGGTCCTGCATCCACCGCCCAGGTGGTCACCTGGTCCTGGCTAGAGGCCTCCCTCTTCCCATTCATTTCTGTCACTCACCCAAGTTTCCTCTTCCTGTTTTAAGGTGCTAGCCCCACGATCCCCACCGAAGCCAAGGAACAGAAACTGAAATCTTTTCCATCCCAAGTGGACACGTCCTTACTGGACCTTTTGCTCTGCTTCTGTTTGAGTTTTACAGCCCTTCCCTCCCCAGAAACAGGGAGAGTGGCCAGCCAGTCACTGCTTCATACATTGACCCTAGGGAAGGCGGCCCTGGGAAAGGTTTCATGGCATCTTGGCATCTCTCGGAAATTGGGCAGTCCTCCATTTCTCTGGCCATGCTTTTTGGCCAAGAACTGCAGAGGATGGCCTGGATTTCAAGAGGCTGAAAGTAGGTTAGAACCTTCTAGAAAGGGGAACTGTGTTCAAGACATGGGGATTTCCTGCCTGGGAGAAGCTCTCTGGGACTGGCAGTAAGCCAGAGCAATGCACACGTGAGGAGGCTTCCTCTCGGCAGAAGAGGCAGCTTCGCTTACTTTGAGAAGCCTCAGATCTAGGTGGGTAGAGCCTTGACAGTGCCAGACAGACAGACACCTGGACTGGCAAATGGTCATGCCTCCAGGTGGCCCCTGAAGTACACTTTGGCACATGGACAGCCCCTGACCCTTCTGGAGCCTCCTGACAGAAATGGCGATTGTTTTTTCAGAACTTTTCACTTACTTTTAGGGAACAAAAGGTAAGATTGACTTAGCAACACTCACTTTTGAAGTGCAGAGAAAGAAAATAAAACTGAGTGATTTCATGCACAGATGCTCCGCCCCTAAACCCATGCATGCCCTGCCTTTGCTCCGAGGGCCTGGCATGGTGCTGGTCACAGGGAATCTGGGAGCTTTACGGAATCAGGAAAATCAAGGGGCACTCGAGCCCTTCTCACCATCATGCTTTTCCTTAATCATCTAATCCCTGCTTTGGGGGCCTTGGGGTTTTCACAGGAAACGAAGAAAGAGAATACACACCAAAGAAAGATCCTGGACACTGGGTGTGTTCAAAGAGTGAGATCGATTTCTTTTTATTGCCATCTTAACAAAAATACTTCGGAAGGCAATCTTTGATTCCAGCATAGGAGGGCCAGGCAATTCCAGGCAATAATTAAGCCATTGGCTGTTGGACAGGAGAGGGTTCAGTTGGAGGGGAACAGGAACCCCCAAAGAACCACAGAATGGGGAGATGGAGCCAAAGGCACAGGGACATTACAGTCACCTTCCAGTCTCCCTATGTGGGACAAAGCTTGGCTTGGGTTTACAAGCAGCACTCCAGGAATGGCCTTGGAAGGCACTGGATGCCGCAATCCTCCCAGCTCCCACTATAGCTCCCACTACAGGATGGGAGGGTGGGAGGTTGTGGGGGTGGAGAGCTTGGCTGGAGGACTTCTGCTGGGGTCAGCTTCAGGCCAGGGAAAAAAGAGGACACAGAGCTGAGCTGCACCCAGGTCAGAGCTAAGCTTGCATCTGCCACCTGCTACTTCCCTCTCTAATGCTAAGAACCGAGTTCTCTCCCCACACTCCAACATGAGACATGAAGCTAGAGGTGTGTGTAGCCAGTGCATAAGCAGCCCGAGCAAGCAGAGGCAAGGCATGCTGGAACCTGGAACGGGGCATGAGCGTACGGGGCTCTGGATTCTTTTAGAAGCCAGGGAAGAGACTGCCTTCCGGTTCCTAAGACCTGGCTCTGCCTCTCCCAGACACTGGCTATAAGCCATAGGGCCAGGGCAGGGTGGGAGAATCACCTGCTACATGCTGAGTGACTCCCGCTTCCACCCAGGACCGCTGAGGCAGGAGCAGAGATACAGGGGGCAGAGGCCCAGCAAGGGGCAAGACCCCCGTCTTCCCACTACTCCAGACCTGGCCTCTGACAGGGGAGCTGGAAAAACCCACACCCTGGCTTCCAGTCCTGGCCCCCTCACTAACTGGTTGTATCATTTGTCTTATACAGATGAGGACAGTAATAATGATCGTAATAATACCTGACTTGGCTGGCTCGAGCTGACTGTCCTGAGACCCCACTGAGCCCACCCCTCTGCGAGGGCGAGGAAAAGCATAAAGTGCTCTTTATGAAGGCAAGACAGTCTTTTCCTTCCTCCAATATCATCCCATTCTTTTCCCCACTCCACACGAGGCAAGCACAGCAGCTGAGCACGCGCACAAGGGCAAGCGGAGGGCCAAGGCAGGTACCACCCCCAGGCAGGGGAGGGCAGACCCCTCCTGGAAGGACTGACTCAACCTGCCCATCAGGCCTTGCCCCCTTGAGAAGCAGCAGCATTGGGACCTGGGAGGTCATGTGTGGGAGGCCGATGCAGCAGCCCCGAGGTTGGAAAGTGGGATTCCATTCGGATGCTCCTCACTGCTGTGGCCCCCGTCCCTGCAAGGCTTACTGCCACGGGACACAGAACAAGAGGAAAACAATCTCCCGGCCAAGCAAGCATGAGGCAGGTGGCTTTTCTTGCATCTTCAGTATCCACCAAAGATGAGGGTGCAGGGCTGAATACATGCTCTGTTAAAGCACAGGGCAGTGACCTGTGCTCGGTGAGGAGGTGACAGCGCCCCAATGTCCTACAAGGGTCATCGATCCTGTTCCTGGACATGAGAGACTGACCTCTGTTGCAAGGCCAGACATCCCTCCTCCATGGCTCTTCTTCCTAGTGAAGACTAGCTGG